CAAATTGGATCGATCTCTTCGTAATATGTAACAAAACCAATGGAACTGAAGTATATAGTTGCACGAATATGTTAGATCGTTTAGAGATGTCTTCTTTCAACAAATTTATGCAATTAGGTCTAAGAAATTTTCGTAAAATTCACGTTCAGGCATTGTCGAATTGACTTTCACGTATCGTACATCTCTTATCCAGAAGGAAAAAACTTCGTCCGTGTTTTTCCTTCTGTTAATTTTCACGTCATGGATTCATATGTTACATGATGGTCGATCGAGATATCGACTTGTAATATAACCGCTCGAAGTTAGCAACTTCAATTTATATCGTTTGAATCTTGCCGCCATTTTTGAACAGCCTCTCGCCTGACATCTGGCACTAATTGCGATTGCATGCCACCTAAAACATTACTAGTCGCTTCCGTAGCCAGAATAATCGGCTTAACGACTGTCGGTGGTATTTGCCGCAAAACTCCTCCTACAGCACCAGAAACTCCCTTTTGTTCGTGTTCTTCGCTAGCCACACGCACCAATTGATTTGCAGTTTCTCCCAGACCCTAAATAATCATAGGTATCAATTAGACGACATAAAATATTCAGAATTTTACATAGTTTTCTTTATGTTAGATATTTCACCTCTTTTACTAGCATGTAAGCATTAGCCATTCCTTCTCGAATGTCCAACGGTTGATTGTATCTTTTCCGACGTCCCTTTTGTCCCTTGTGTTTATGTCTCACACTGGGACCAGGGCTGACCATATCGTAAGCAGTCTCAGCTGTACTTTGTATAGCATGTATCAATCTGGAAGTTAACTCTAACGTAGCCATAGCTGTGGACATCGTAAAACTGTTCGCACCTCGTTGCAAACCTCTAATTATTCTACCATCTTTTTGATATTGTTCAATAGGCAACCAGAACAAATCCCTTATTCCTTGAACTGTAAAGAAATGAATTAAAAAAATGTATAAAATATTACGAATAAAATAAAATAATTGAACTAAAATATATACTTACACAATTGTACTAATGAGTGTATAGGACCAACACCGCCAAGCAAACTTGGTAGCTGGTTTTTCTTTATGTCTTGGAACCACTCAGAAAGTAAAAACGTAATAAGCTTATCGAATCCCAGAAGTCCATGTCGATGTGTCAATCTTTTCAGTCTTAATTCGGAACAGTTCAACTGCGCCAAACCCATTAGAAGGCCTGCTAACGGCCCATGAGTGAGATCTACACGCTTCCCGTGATAATCTAATCTAATAAGGACTTCAGGGGAAAATATCACACTCCTGATACGGATCAAACAAACCAAGTTTTAATATGGTATATCAACAAGGACACTATTCTACATCTATTACTCAAATATCAATTCTACAACTCGACAACTCTACGCTTAACATGCTTTCTTTTCCTTACCTAAAATATATCGGTTGACAATCTTCGTGAACTTCTTGCGTCCGTTTTCCTTGCACTTTATTATTTTCTTTGATCATCAACTCATCCTCCAAGAGTATTAATAAATTTGGATCTATACTATCGTTTTGAGACGTATTCGTTGGCGTCGGGGAATTAGGCGTAGTGTCATTTACACTCATAACAGGCAGATGATGCGTTGGTGTCCCTTGCTTGGATACCGGAGCGGATTGAGGATTATTGGGCGTGCTAGAATTCTCTTGAGCATACTTCGTACCGCTACCCAATTCGTTGAAGAACTCTATCAAGAACAGTAGGCTGTCTTGATCAATATTTAGACGTACAGGCAGTAGGCTGAGCTTCAGACAACACTCTTGAGCACTTAATCTCGGATCAGGTCTTACGTGAACCACCTTCATGGCAAACATATTTGCGTGTGACTGTCTGGGCATCGCCTCACTAATGTACTGATATAAGAATTTGTTAATATGCGAGGACGCCAATCTGTCTCTGATTTCTATTTCGTTCACCAATAATATTTGCCTCGCCGCTTCTGCGGTGTTCTCTGGATAAACTTCATGTTGAAAGCGTACTTTATTCAATTGAAGTTCCATTAAAATATCGTGCCTGCGACCAGGTCCTCCCATCACTTGCCAATCTGTTGTTTCTTTGCATTTTCCTCTCGGTGAATTTAATACCTTTCCAAAGTGTATTTCATTGGGATTGGATTTATTGAAAGTCACTCCATCGCACCATGGTGATCTGTTTCTGTAAATATAAATTCAACATGTAATACAATGACTAATTTTTGAAAATTCTTCATAATTCTAATACATACTTATCTTGAGAGGTTGTGTTAGGACGAAGCACGGTGTCATTGATGACAACTTGCTTTTTAGTAGACGATTGTGCAGCTTCAAAATCCTTTCCTCCATACATATGCCACACCAATGTCATTTCGCACAGGGTGTACCTTAAAATGGGTGGCGGAAAATGTTTCGGAGCCTTCAACAAATCAATTTTACCAAGTGGAATCGCGAAGTGGTTATCTACTATTCTTAAAGACTCTTGACAAAGCCAACGAACTTCCGGCACACCGTGTCTTGGCATGATGCCTGTACCAGCTTCTTCCCCTAATATACAAAAATCTTCGTTCGCGTCTTCAACCTCTATATTACACTCTGTCTTGGCACATTCAGGACTTTTACACATTTCAGGTACCGTTTGCGAAGCAGGGTAAGACTCGTCCGGAAAGAAAAACACTTCCACCGGTTTTTCAGCTACTGTTTTGTTACTGCCCACTTTAGAAGGCGTTCCTGCAAAATAACAATTAATCAAAATCAATTATTCATATTCATTTCACTGGTTATTCTTTATTAAGTAATTTCACCTTTCACAGTTTCTTCCATCGCCTCTTTCATCAAATTACTCACACGTTGAACTTGACTCTCGCTCAAAGTATTAATACACTCATCCCCTAAAAGACCTTCTTCGTCGCCAGAACTTGGTACTGTGAAGCTTTCGAGACTTTCCGTATTAGGTGCCAAGTCTCCGTCGTTGGCGAAATAAGTCAGCAACTGAATAAGAGCACGACCAGAGTCTGAACACGTTCGAACGTGCAGTACGTTGTTACTTGCTCTCAGATCCACCCTGGGTGCTCCACCATACATTTTATCATTCAATCTCAACGATAACTCGAACAACGCTACATCCATTACGCACACATAGTCTCGAGCAGCAATATTGCTAGACACGCTAAAATTACCGAGAGTTACCATTGATCTTAATGGTAGATGAATTGGCCTGAAATTATAGATTTTGTTTTATTATATTAGCATACTTTGGAAATGTCGCCTAAATCTGTACAAATAAGAACCTATAATCAACCGCGCAATCCCAAAAGTGCAAGTGTAACTCTGTTAATATTCCTGGTGGTGAGTATCCTGCAACTGGATGATCCGCTACATCCAGGCAATCTGTTAGTTGTCTGAACCACGATGTATCAGTGATGCACTTTCTATGTCTCAGTGTTGCATTCGCTATGCCTACTGCCACTCTAAAAGTCTATTTTAAAATGAATCATGATTACTCTATCCATTATTAAGATGTATTCACAATTAATATTCAGTTAAATTATTATAAAACAAACTTTGATACGATGCGTCTGATGTGCAGCCTGTATCCGAATGGCAAGCGTCACCATATCTTTGTCGCTATTTCTCGTAGCTATTGCACTTGCACCTGGCTCGCTTTTATATATAGCATTCTGACAATGTCGCGGTGTGGCGCTATCAATATGTCTCAATGAAGGTGGCTGTGACGGGGTGGTCATTAATCCACAATGATCCAAAGACGTTTCTTTTACCATTGCGCATAGGTAACTGAGATTCGCGTTCCCTTTATACGAGGTCACTGAGAAAATCGTCGCGTCTTCCACTCGGATTATTAATTCCCCTTGTTGCCCGGGAATAACGTTACGCATTGCATCGCGAACGGGCGTGTACATACAGAGGAGACCTTGATCTATATTCAGAATTAGTGCTAGATTACTCTGACTATTCCTGGACACCTTCTCCTGATGTTGTCTGTAGCTCTTGTCAGCTGCAGAATTAAATATTCCTTCCTCGTCTGAGTCTGACTCAGAATCGTACTGGACTCTGCTTTTACACGTGCTAAATCTAAAATACGTAATTTTACTTTTAAATAAAATCATAAAAAATTTATGTACTTTTTTTTTACTGTCATTTACCTAGGATAAACTGATTCTTGCAACAAAGTGGACGCCAAGTCGAGACCTATATGATTCTCTGCGTGTGTGCCATACTTTGGTCTCGGCGCTGATGGTTTCCATAAAAAAAGATCAGTGTTGAATCTGTTAAACAACAACTCGTATAGGTGTTTAGATGGTATCTGGACGGAGACACATGGAAAGTAGATTTCTAACTGTATCCTAGAGCTATGAATGCCTTCATCCATAAACTCTTGCATCTCTTCTCGACTTCCCGGTATAATTAATTCTTCGCCTTCCCTGTTGAAGTGAGAAAAAAGTAAATGGAAGTTTTTTTTTTTAAATAAAAGATTTTATTAAACAAACCTTTGCTCTGAATCATTCTTATCGCCCTGTGCATGAGGTCTGGAATGAGGTGTGTCAGATTCATGAATAACGCGTTTCGAGCTGAATGGCGATGGCTGGTGTTTAGGCGCGTTCTCCAGAGTTTCATCCAAACTAGAATCTGGTTCTTCCTCAGAACTGTCTTCCAACTGACCGCTTAAACGTTGTGGATAAATTGTAATAACTATTCGAGCCCAATCAAATCCTTCGTCGTTGACTTGCTGACACGACACGTTCTTCTCGTCGGTTGTAACTTTGCCTATATTCAATGGTATGTCTGTATCGGTTTCTGCATACGAGAATAATAATTTTCTAAATTGAACTTCGTGCTTCGTCACAGGTTGAGGACGACTCTTTATAGTAGAATGAATTTGTGCATCTGTCAATTTTAAGATCACGTAATCCGTTCTCACTGATCTCTTCCACCATGGCGCCCGATTCATATCGTGCAACGGCCTTAAATCTGGTATTGGAAACCTGTTTTTAAATAATTTCATTAAATTGATTTTGTACTTTATATATGGTATCTTTGCCTTCATATTGTAGATTTATAAATTACCTTAACTTTATTGTACATTGTGACGAAGATACGTTTATGACAGCTGCAAAGTCTGATAAAGTGGGACTCTCTACAGCTTGATAAAACAACGTTTGTTGATTCTGTGAATTTTGTAATGAAAGGATGACAAGGACCGCTTATCTTAGAAAATAATTATATAATGAAAGTTAACAACTTACAATGTTTCTATCGTTAGATACAGGATTGTAAACGCAAATAGGTTGCGGATTAAGTAGAGCACATATCCTATCTACAATGGTTATATCAACTTCGCTTTTGCATGGTTCCAATTCAATGCTAAAGATATAATATAAAGATAATTAATTAATTTAAAATACATTTTAAATATACTTACTCAATTTCTGTGCAAGGGTGTGCACATTTCATTAATTGAGCCTGTCGTGCATTTTGAATATCCTCTACATATTTAAATTTCATTTGAAAGTCCGTTTTATTGGTAAAACCAACACCTGATGAACTTTTTTTTGAAAAGGTAAGCAATTCTACAAATTCTGTAGGCGAAATTCCATTTGCATTAGAATTGTTCGAATCTATTAAACATTCTACGATTTCTAAGCTAGCTAAAGTTAAAGTTCCAGATACTGCAGAGGATAATGTGGTATTTTTTTCCCTTCCTTCAATAACCAGCGGTGCAGTAAGTAATCTGAAATAAACAATAATTAAAAAAGAAAAAGAAATATTTCTAAATTCTTTTTATCATTACTTTATACTGATTACACAAACCTAATGTGGCTTAAATGGCAAGCATCTAAAAGTATTTTAGATGCTTTATCAAAATCTTTATTTCCATATCCTCCAGCTGCAAACAATCCTAATTGCTTAAAAAAATCGTCCGCCAAATTTTTCATCTGCTGTATGCTAGAACGCGTTAGACCACCTCCGTCTACACACGTGGTCAATATATCTTCGTGCAATAGGATTACTGCAATGGAAGATACTCTCACATGAAAATGAGACGTTTCCGCGGAGGGGCTATTATCCACGCTATGCCAATGTTTTTGTTGCTTTGGTAAATTTGTCGCTGAATTTTTTAAGTTAATACTACTGTACAATGTACTCCCATCCATGCTAACATTATTGCTTGTGACTGAATCACTCATTGATGTGGATCCTGGCAGTCGCATCGGTAGAAATACGTCTTCGTTATCAGACTCATCCCAAGACGCTGCCGACCAACCTTGCGTATGCTTTAAATCCTGTTAAGAAGATCAATATATTTCACTAATTTTCCACATTTTTACAAATTGTAATAGTTGTTGTTGTTTTTTTTGTATTACCGTAGAACGTAATCCTTGAGTTGAATGTATTTGATCAACGAGTTCTCGCTCCACACGATTAAAATCACTACCGGCCATAGGTTTCTCAGTGTACGTTTTTGGTGCAACGTTACTAACATCTTCCAAATCCGGAGATGCAAGTCCGTGTCCTAATTCTAATAGCACGTGCACCTGCCGCGGGCTTAAAAACGAAGTAAATGACCCCAGTGTCACTTCTAATTCTACCTGAAGTAATTAGTTCTCTTTTACTTCGTGCCAAACGCATTATAATTTAATGATATGTATATTTTTGTTTACTTTTTAATATACAACACGTGTATATCATTTAGTTTCAATTAACTTTACCTTTGGCCCTGAAACACTTTCTCCTTGCTTCAGCTTCATTCTTATCTCTTGCCTGCCTGCCAACTTAGCAAACATTATAGGATTTGATTCATTTAAATTATTAATATTTCCTTCTGTAGGACTTTGCGTGTTTTGATTGGGAGATATTTGTGCAGAAGAAAATTGGCCATCTGAATTCTGTAGGAAAAAAATTCCAAAATGTTTTGTTCATGTTTCTTTCTACAGTGTTTTCTAGTAGTTCTGTGAAAAAATTTTACTTTAGAATCTGGTGTAGAACCGCTGCTTGTTGTTATGATACTTCTAGAAAAGGTTCTTGCACGAGATGGAAATTCATCTGTATGAAAGGTCACCCCTTCCAAGTAAAATCGTTTTGTCATGAATGCTGACATAACATATCCTTTTGTTGACTGACTAGGATCTAATGAAGTACTGCTTGGATCCAAGCCTGCTTCATCTGAATATTCAAGATTTTGTATACACATTTCTATTGCAACACCAGTTGAAGAATCCAGTGGCACATGTTCCAAGCGTATTACAGTATCTATAAATCTTACTTTCACCCTGCATAAAACTAAAATAGAGACATACATATTTTTTATATATTTTAAGAATTTCATTAAATAGCTTTCTAAAACATTATGAAATTCCTACTTGAATCTATTGTTTGTGCAAATAATTCAACTCCTTCTAGTGGTTGTGAATTTCCAACATTATTTGCATCCTCTTGTAAGCATTCTTGTGCAAGTTGCATACTGGATGTCATAGAGCTCCACATAGATTCAAACATGGAAGTTCCACTTTCTGCTCTTTGCCTAGGTTGCACAGTTAATCTTAAACTGGTTACTTCCACATAACTAGCTTCACTGAGCAGAGCTGACCATGGTATGCTGACAGACATTTCTGCCACAAAACCATCAACAAATTCTAGTGGGAGATGTTGTTGTTTTCCCATCTCATTAAGTGCCTATCATAAAAAGTTTGTCAAAGTACATTTTGTTTTTATTTCTTCCTTTGTTAACATCATTTGAACTAAAAGAATTGCTCCCATGAAAGAGAAAGAAAAAATGCATACAACTCAAAGTGTTCACTTTATCTCTATAGTCACTAGCTGAAGTCTAACAAAGAGATTTGAAACAAAGAAAATGACAGTACCTGTACATCAAGCCTGACATTGGTTACACGACCAGTTCCATTGTAAAGATCTACAGTGAGCTGATCCAATGTCAATTTCTCCTCTAAAAATTGACCAAGATATCGTTGTAGGAGATATCTGCAGGCGCGTTTTTTGATCCCTTGAGACCAGGGTAGACATCCCAACCAAGACATTTTATTCCCACGTTTGACAATCTAATCTAAGAAAGACATGGATTTTTCGAAAGTAATTTTCGTCATACGTCTTATGTTAGGCCTGTTATTCGGGCACGGTACAAGAAAAACAATTTATCCACGTGAATTCCATCTTTCTAACACGTGCCCACTTTGGTGCAATGATTCTTAACATAATACGATGATTCGGATGTAACGGGGTTCTAGCTGCGTAATGTTTTCCTTTGGATGCACTACACACACACTACACACATAGAAGTCTGACTATCAGACATACACTGTGAACGAAACACTGGTGTCTTATTGACTGAAATCAGCTGACTTTGGAGAGAGATGCACCGATACTTACTTTTTCCAATACTCTTTCACTTTTCATGCATCGATGGAACTTCGTTCCCTCTTCCTATCATAGTTAGAACGTAATGTAGTTTTTCACGATTTATCAACAAGAATATTTTTTCATTTTTCTGTAACGAATAAAATAATGCAGAAAATCGTATACTGACAAATCAGATTAAGTTATACCATTTTTTATTTTGAATATTGTTTTCTCTGAAGAATTTGAAAGAAAATTCCTTTTATTTTCATTATCTTCAAAACATATAAAATTGTAATTTACTTTCATTGTAATATTATTATGTAAGTATTTATATATATATATATATATGCAAAAAAATAGTATTAACGATTTTTAGTATCCTTCGAAGTATTAAACATTATCGTATGAATAATTGTATTTTAATAAAATAACATAAAAAAAATCAGGTCATAGACTTCGTTCGTTTTCTTAAGTTTTTCTTCTTTTTTTTTTTTAATGCACAACAAATTATTGTCTAACGCGCGATGAAAGATCGAAACCATTTTTTATTTCCGTCGTTTATATCAGTGTAAAATTTGCTTGGCGTATAGATCAACTGTGTATTTCAAATGAAATATTCTTTTTCTAAATATTACTTAAAATTGAATCGCTGAAGTAAGATTTTTTTTTAAGTTCATACAATCGATACGAATATTTTCGAAAGGTTTACTAGCCTGAACGTATCTATATTCACAGTAGTTACTGTGTATAGTTTACTAATAAGTTCAAGTGCATAGTGAGTGGGCGGTCTATCAAGAAGACAGTTAATAGAAGCTTATTAAACATTTTGTTTTTCATTCCTACAAATACATTGTAAAACATAAATTTGCCTTTACCATTTGGACAATGGCACTAACTAATATTTTGCTTCTTAGCCAAATATCCGGTTATGTCGTAGCTCTTGTTTTGTCACTTTGCATTATTATACCTATGAGTTTGCATCAGGACGAATTTAGGTAGCTATGATTCTAACTAGGATACATGACAGGTGGTATTTAGGATACATATGCAACAAACTACATTACGTGTTCTTCCTGTCTGTTTACAGAGGACATTGTCTATTGTTTTCAACAGGAACATGGCAAGAGTCTGATGGTCAGTTTGTAATAAATTGGGCTCCACAATCTTATTGTAATTATACAATATTTGTCGGTTTAATGTTACTATTAACATCTGCTATACAAATATACAGACTTTCTATACTTATGTATCGTGGAGAAGACAGTTCTTTCTTGTCTGCATTCATAGATGTTGTCAGTTCAATATTTCTTACACTAATTACCTTAGTTGCTGCAATTTTTATTACACTTGGATTTATGACTTGGTGTCAATGTATGACCAAGAGATTTCCATCATGTGAATTAGCAGCTGGAAATGATATAGATAAAGCTGATGGAATAGACACATCTGGTTTTTATATTGAATTAGGTGCAGCACAATTTGGCACTTGGACAAGTTTATCCATTTGGGTTGGTCTATCTGTTTTTGCAGTATTAAAGTTGTTACGATACCATCAATTAGAAAATATGAAAGTTTCAATGTATAGAGAAAGACAAAGATTGATAGAAGCAGACAAAAGTAATGAAATACAAGAATCAACTTAAAAATATGAACATGTAAAAATCTTCAATATTAAGATGGTAGTATTTTTTTATCCTACTATTCTTATTCTCCAGAGAAATATTTATACCCTGTGGAATCAGTTTTACAAACGCACAGTCCATTACCAATATAGTTTCAATAGTGTAACATGACCTAAAATAACATTTCAATCTATTATGGAGCTGAATAACTATATTGATTGAAACAAGCAATTATAGTTACAACAATATGGGATATGCTTAAAGAATATAATTTTTATGTTTGTATAATTAAGACTGCATAAAATTACAATTTATAGTTCCCACAACTAGCATTAGAACTCATTTTATAATGGTCCATTCAGTGTCTTTATTTTAATCAATGTTACACAATTGTTAAATATAATGTATTTTATTATTGTATTATATTTTTATTTGTTTGTACATACAGTATATGAGAATAACAAAGTGTATAACAGTTACATACTGTGAAAGTAAGTTACTTAAAAAGAAAAAAGATAAATTGATGGTATGAATTTTTGCAAGTATGAATATATGTGATTATTGAATGTGTATAAATTAAGAACGTATTTAAATATGTTAAGAAATATATTTTGTAAATATATATGTTACATTCGCATAATATACCAGAATCACATTAATACATTGAAATTTATTATATAAGCAAGGCTAAGTGAATAAATATCTTTTTATATAAAACCAGAAGTTTGTTATGTGGGAAAAATCAGTGTATTACTTCTCTGCAGATTCCTACAGAATTTCTACGGCTTCCTACAGGACATTGCCTCTTGGGTGCTTGTATTATTATAAATGGTTCAATATCTGATGGTACACATTCTAGTTCAAAGGTAGTTTCATTTACTTCTATTATACCCTTAGGAGCACAAGGACCTCCTACAGTTCTGAGAGAATAACATGTATTGTTATATTGTACTACACCATCTACCAAGCATGGATTTTTTTCACATTTTGGTACAACTTCATTCTTAGGAAGTACCACATAATGTTGTGGTTTACAAGGTCCTTGTTTATATGCTTCATAGCAAGAATCATTCAAAGGAAAATATAAAAATTTTGGTCTACAATCACATATCCACGTACTCTTACTTCCTGATCCAGGGTAAAGCAGCATGTTTTCAGGACATTCATTTGGTGCCACAATTGGATCACGCTCTGTCATCTAAAAAGAAAAGAAGCATTCTCTTTTTACTTGCATTATATTATGTCAAATTTCTTTTTTATCTTATAAGATTAATATTTATACATTTATTCAAATACAATTACCGGTGTGTTGCTGCTGTCACCACCAAGATAGGGTAACTTGTCATCCTTTGGAAACACAATATCTTGACAGAATATGCAACTCCATGTTATTAGTGTGATGCCAAGAACTACCCACTTCATTTTATGTTTGGTATTTTATACGAACTTTCTTATGTAAAACTGTGACAAATATTTAATTTCTTTGAAAGTAAATTATTTAAATTTTAATATAATGTTTGCACTAACTTACACCATCAAGTACTTTTTCATTAGTAAGTTACTAAAGATACAGATATCATTACTTCAGCATATTTGCCATGTTTGAGTGACCTCACATGATCCCAAGATTTCAAGGACAACCAGAGTTGGATACAATAAAAGAATTAAAATCAGTGACCAATCATTATTAAGCCTTTGCTGGTAATTGAAGTCTTCCTTCCACTACTCCTCTCAACTGTACAGTTACATGTATCAAAGGAATAAGTATAAAAATTTCTGATATTATAAATATAAAAACAATTAACTTGAAAATAATTTTTGATTTATTTTATACATGTAAATTTGTTGGTAATAAAATATATTATTATGCTTAA